GTAAAAGGAATCAAAGTTTTGGAGTTTATATTAAAGAGAGAGTTAAAACGAAATTAGTTGTTAAATGGAAGCAAGCTAACTTCCATTCATAGGGTCATACGATGGTCAAACGTTGCTTTCATGCAAAGCTGGTGATGAACTAAGAAAATATATCTATACATAGATAGATACAATACACACATAATGATAATGATATGTGAGAGAACTGAATGTCGTTTTGCTTTTCTTTGACCGTTTCCTTCTTCTTGGTATGACCGGTGACGCTGCCATTTTTGTTTCTTTCTTGTGGGACAAGCAACTATTCATCACCATATCACCAACCTATCTAATTCTTTTATATATATATATATATATATATATTTGTTTCATCAATTATCAATCCATTAATAGCGTGTGTGTGTGTGTGTGTGTAATTTTGGTTCCAAGTAGTTTCGTATCTGTCTTAAATGAAATCTCAAATTTTAAGTTTTATACATGTATGAAGAAATTAAAATTATTGTTGGAATTCAGATACTTCTTTACATATATCACTCAATAGAATTTATTGTTTCCTCGGTTCGCTTCTTAAAAAAATTGAGTCCTATGTTTAGAGAGTGAGGAAGTAAAATTTATAACAAGTTGTAGTATTTATAAATAATATTGTTCACCTCAAACTATGTGTATGTGTAATGTAAGGTAAGAGAAAAAAATATATTTATTGAAATATAAAATTAAAGTGAGAATTAAAGTTATATCATAAGAAAATGTATGATTTTCTAATTTCATCTTTCACTAAAATTAATGATCACGGTAAAGTACTATCCAGAAATTAAAAAAATGCCAATAATTTGTTATAATTAAGAAGGGACAAGATTGAAAAATAGTTTAATTTAATTATCATATCTTTATCCTATATTTAAGACCAAATAACTAGAAAAAAATCTAAAATAGAAGGTGATGTATATAAGTCAAAGAAAACAATTAAGTTACATATACATGGCTAGGTAAGTGCAACAAATTATTACAGAAGATATTTCTGGCTCTCAAATGATCAAGAAGATGGTTCTCTCTCTGTCTTCTTGTTGATAAGATCAATTCCACTTCACCAACTCAATTATGATAAGCTTAATTTCCTCATTTTGTTAATTACCACAATATAATTCTTCACCATGCATGTCTATCAACTATTATCGTCTTTATAATAAGAGAATTCAAACACACACACACACACCCACACCCCCACCCACCCAACGTAACAGTGCTGATGACTGGACGATTAAATATCTGTGTTTTTTCGTAGCTGTTTAATTTAATCAATTGGAGCTTTGAGGTTTTGGTACCTTTATGTAGGTACATTTAATTTTGTTCTCTACTTCTAATTGTTGATTTGGTAAGAAGTCACACTTGTGTGAGTGTTTGTGTTATATAAACATACATGTATATATAGTTCATGTTCATCTATGCCTATATAGTATATATCCAAATCATTCCAATCAAGTTCATCCATCTGTCGTTTATACATGTTAATTGAATTAATCAACTAGAGATTAATTTGAGGTTTTGGTTCTTTTTTGTAGGTACGTTGAATGTGTTCTATATACTTTTAATTGTCGATTTGTTGAGGTGTCACACACGGATATATTATAATCTATACATACGTACATACAAATATATACAGTATATAGACTTATGCGTAAGCCAAGTTTGGTTTCATGCATGCATAGATAGGTTAAACTAAATGGGGGTCCAATTATTGTTGGGAATTGATTAATCATGATTGATTATCTATATAATAATCAGGCTCAAGATTCTGTCTTTATATGATTAGTGTAATTAACTTAATTAATTACAATCCTAATCCTATATATCATCTTTGATCATCACCTAAGTACGTGGTCTTGTTTTTCTTTATTTAGTTTGAGATTCACTTGACTTGTGTCTCCACTAATTATATACTCAGACGCATATTTTAATTTCTTTGTAAATTATGAATGTTTTCGTAGTGTTCAAGTTGATCTGTCTGAGGTTTATGGCAATATAATATTCACCACTTTCAAGATTAAAAGCCTTTCATTTGATTGTGAGAAATAATATTGAAAATATCCAATTTATAAATTTTTACTTAATTATGTTTTCTTTTTATAATTGTTACTCTAGTGCAGGTCCCGTACTTCATAATAGGCCTAAAAACTTAATTAATGTTCGACTAGCTTGTTAGAATTTTCATGTTATGACATTGATATAAATTATTCAATCTTTTACCACTCTTAAAACATAGGACTAGCTAGTCGTTATTATATTAATCTTGTTCCAGATATACAAATTGCATACATACGGTCGTGGAGATTCTAATTTTTCAATCAAATTATTAAAGGTTAAATAATAAATTAACTTCTAAATTATAAATTTAGAAATATTTAGGACTCTAAATTTATTTTTGATATAATATTCCTTTTCAATATGATTTTTAAAAATGATGCAATTAGAGTTTATTGTTAATAAAATTTAACTTTGACCATTAATTAATTAAAAAAATAAAAAAAGACTTTAAAAATTATAGAAATAGACAAAAAATTTATAGTAAAGGACTAAAAAAATACACCAATTGTAGAAAAGAACCAAAAAAATTTATTGGTCATTTTTTATTATTTTCTGATCAATTAATAGTTAATATTAACTTTTGTTAATTGTAGATGCTAAATTGTACTGTTTTTAAAAGTTAAAAAAAATATTATATTAAAAATGAGTTTAAACTTCTAGATTCTCCTAAACTTATAATTTTGAGACTAATTTACTCTTTTATCCAACATTTACTTAAATTATTTGGAGAGAAGTATACTATATTATATTGTTTGAATGGTCGGGAGGGGTAAAAGTTTTATTATTTTGCTGAGTATTGAAATTAATAAATAAATAAGAATAGCAAATTTTTTTTTTTTTTTATTATTATTGAGATGAATGGCATATGAAAATTCTTCGTCATCATCATAGTCATTTTATTATAATTTTAATTTAATGTGAGTGGCAATACCTTTTGGAGTATGAGTTCATATAGCACCAGCAATAATATTTGAAGGTAAAGAAAAAGCAGTAATTGACTCAGTGGCGAGATTGAGTTGCATGGTAAATTATTATTGAGAAGGTGTGACCATTTGGAGTATTTTTTTGTCAACGAAATTTTTAACAAGTCCCACTTATTCCATTATAGTCATGATAGCATAATTTATTTTTAGACTTTGCATAATGCATAATAAATTAATTGTCAAGTTATATCCAGCTCCATATGAATGCATTAGACCCTACTTCATATATTTAATAAATTTTTAGTAAATTACACTATTCACCATCTTTTTAAAAGTAAAGACGTAGAAACTCTCTCACAAATATCTCTTTTTCAATTGACCGCATGCTTAGAAAAACAAATAATTATACTGATTGGCTATTTTACAATGCAACTAATGACAATCTTGAAATAACAATTTTTGTTGTTTCACCAGTAGAACGCAAAATCCTTTTAAATTCTGATGAAACCTGATTTTATTGTCAATTTTTGTTATTATATTTGCTGTTGGAAAAAAAAAAAAAACTCATTATTAAGAATGCATTGCGGGCGGTTTGCCTTCATGTCCCTTAATTAGCCCAAGCCCAACATCCCTGGTCCATGGAAAAAAAATGCCTAAAATATACAAATAATAATAATGAGGTTTCCCTAGATATGATAATTTTTTTTCCTTCAAAATTTCTAAAATTTTTATGAAATTAATATATTTTGTGAAAATGTTATAATAAGTCCAATTTAAAATAAAAATAAATAAAATAGTAATTAAAAATATTACAAAATAGAACTTATCTTTTATTACATTTTAGTTATTGTTAAAAAAAATTAATCAATACTTAAATTAAAGTAATCATATTAATAACCTTGAATTTTAGTAGTTAAAAAATTTATAAAAAGAAATTTATAATTACTTATCTTATTTTAATTATTATCAAAAAAATAGTCATTAATTAAAATAAATAGTTATTGATATTTTAAATTAAATTTATTAAAATTATTTCATAAAAGATATTAATATCATAAAAGTGTTAGGAAATTTAAAAAGGATTATCGCATTTATATTATTTCATTATAATTTGCAATTCGAGGAGGATTTTTGTATTATTTTCTCCTGATAAATTCAAAAAGAAAAGGGCTTTAAATTAAAATAAATTAAAAATTAAAAAATATTTAAATAAATCAAGTACATTACATTATTTATAATCTTTTCAATTAAAATTTTTTAAATAATTTAAATAAAATTTTGTCTAACATTTTTTAAATTAATTTTATATTTATAATAGAATGTATATTTAATTTATTATTTTTTTTACTATTATTAATATTAAAAATTAATTTATATCTAATGTCATTTAAATCTAACGTTTTTATTAAACACTATTTAAATATTTCTCCGCTACTGCTAGCTCCAAGAACCGCGAGCGGCAGCCAGGCGATGCGGGTATAAACTCGAAGAGGAAATACTGAGGGATGTGTTTGGATTTGAATTTGAAAAAATTAATTATAAAAAAAATTGATTATTAAAATATGACAATGGTTGAATAAATTTTTAAAAATTGATTTTGATAAATTGAATATGTTTAAATGATTTTTTAAGAATGAATTTTAAATGTGCAGATAAATAATACAAAGAAAAAAAACTAAATGAAGTTTTATAAATGGAAAAAATTTCAGTTTAAAATAAAATTTTTTAAGTTAAATAGAGTTTTATAAAATGAAAATGTTTGAATAAATATTTATAAAATTATGATTTTAATCTCAGAATTGATCCTAACGAATATCCAACCAAGCCCGAGAATGTTTCCAAGTGCCAGTTATGTTATGGAAAGCATAGTTGAACCAATGAAAACTAATAGCGGCTTCCCTCTACAATTTATTATTGTTGTAACTAAGATAGCGAAAGGGAGAACAAAAGCTTGCTTCTTGATGGATTTTTTTGGATGTTTCTGTTCGTCCCCAAGTACTCCTCTTGTTGAATTTCCCAACATTCCCTCGTTTCGATCAATCCCGCGGAATCCCCATAGAATGCCAACCTTCCGTCTCTTCCTCTCCCTCCCTCTCTCTCTCTGCATTGCGCAATATCTCTCGAAGTTTCGAATGTTTTTCTTCTCATGACAGTGACAATAACGAAATAGAAAGGGAAATGCACTGAGAATGCTTCATCTTCGGCTGTGATGACTATGACACGGATAGTTGATGAACCTTCTGAAGGCTTCATTTCCTATAACAGAATGCCTCGCCGAGCAATTGAAGGTTCACTCCTTATTTCCTGCATTTCCAACCACAGTTTGCTTCTCTTTTCCATAGAAGTGTGCTTAATATTTTCTCTTCTTCAGTGTCTTCCGTGATTTTAAACCATATAAGTAAATGCGAGCTTCCATCTTGTATGTTTATTTGCAGAAATCAGGGCGTCAAACTGTTGTGAATATTTATGAAATATATTCCACCACATTTTTCTTTTATGGGGTCTTTTCAATCTGCTTTCTTCAGGTTCACTTCTGAGTTTACACAGCAACCTTTTAAGACTATAAGCAATTGTAAATTTTCATCTCTTGCAGTGATGTTGGGATCTAGTGGATGTTGAATTTTCTTAGATTTCTGATCTTATTTGGTTCTAATTTAGGAATGAATGGGAAGAATTTTTCTCCTTTTGATTCTTGCATTAGTATTAATGAAATCAGTTTATTAACGTTTGTTTCATCTGATTTCTCATCTTGATTATCATAGATGTTTTGTCTCTTCCAATTCTAGTTGACTGGTTCTGCTTATGCGCTCCCTTGCTTGCTGAACTTGAGAGTTGAGCAAATTCCTTTCCCTGCTATCTTCAGATAAGGGAAAGGAAGGATTAACTGTCTCCTATATCAGATGAAAATACTGATCCCATATTGGTTTATAGTAGTTAGTACTGTGTAAATCTTTTTTTACATGGCAGCGAATTGGAATTTAACATGGACTTGAACATATACATGTATTTTATACATTTTGGCTTCTTTTCTTATGGAAAGCATCATTTTTTTTCAATGTTACGTGATAGCGCCATGTTGCTGGATTTGGTTAAGTGAAGTGATTCATCCAGTGGGACAATGGGTTGCATTGTGGGATCGGACCCTTAATTTTGAACATTTCAATTTTTTTTCTTTTTATCTACTCCTCCCTGTCACTTGGAATAAACAAAAAATGATTAGCGAAGTAATATCTGTGATTGCAGTGGCATCTCCTTGTTCTTCTCAGAATATTCAAGCTTCATCCCTTCACACTTCTGAAGGATTGTTCTTTTTCTTTGGAGGGATAGTAGTGCTCATCATATTGCTGATTCTTATATTTGTGTTTCGGAATCATATTAAACCGGCAAAGCTTATGAAAATGATAGTTTGGAATGAACAGCTTCCTCCAAATAAACAGCACCCTCCAAATAAACAGCAACGAGGTAATTAAAACAAAGCACCAGAAAACCACAATGTTAGAAGCCTGAATCTTTTTCAAGTTTTAACTCAATTTTCTATATGATTGTGGCACAATTTTTTTCCCCTTTATTTTAGGGATAAATGTTCTTATAATGTTACTGCTATTTGTTTTTCTTTTGGAGATGACGAACCAGCAGAGGTGTTGGAGATGATAGTTTCAACAAGTAAGCAGCAAGGCAGCTGAAAGAAACATAGAACCTGCTACTTTCTTTTGGCTAGAAAATAGAACCTGCCACTTCAATATACTATTGATTATAAGGCCTCAACATTGGAGTTTATCTTTTGTATACAGGATCCATGGAACTCATGAGTGGGAGCCTTCGAACAATAATCTACTTTGACTACGGGACATTGAAGAAGGCAACCAAGAATTTTCATTCTGTTAATCTTCTTGGAAGTGGTGGATTTGGGCCTGTCTATCGGGTATAAGTACTGAGGAGATTATTTGTTGATGTGAGATCCTGAAATTTTGAGTATGATGCATTTATATTTTAAAACTAACATGTATGATGCATGTCAAATTTTATATTGGAGTATTAGCAGGTCCTATTGTAGTCGCAGAGTGAATTGATCAATGTACTCATCAGACTGAAATAATTGGCAAATTAACTTGTGTGGTGATTCATGTGAGCTTGAGAGATTGGCAGCATTTATTTGGGTGCTAAGAAACTGTTGGATCATGAAGTCCATTTGCAGATGCTTCTAGCTGTAGATTATGATCCTAACGTGTATATTTATCAGGGAAAGTTGGCAAATGGAAGGCTAATTGCAGTTAAGAAACTGTCTCTTAACAAATCCCAGCAAGGAGAAAGAGAATTTCTGGCCGAGGTGAGAATGATCACCAGTATTCAACACAAAAATCTGGTTTGCCTTATTGGATGCTGCACAGAAGGGATTGAAAGGATACTTGTGTATGAATACATGAAGAACAAAAGTTTGGACCTCTACCTATATGGTATCCCTTTTATACCATCTCTTTAATCCTGTCAGTTTTTACTATTATCCTATCATGCGTATGTACAGTGAAGCCCTTGTTAAATATCTATATTCTATGTATTCTATAAAAGCTTTAACAAACTGCATTATTCATGAGTTGTGAACAGTACACCTCATTTTTTAGATTTCATGCAACACCTGGAACCCATAGAAGTCAAATAATTCTCCTTCAGACAGAGGATCTGATTAAATATTCACTGTTTTTCTTAATGTTGAATGCCCCTTTAAGTGTTTGAAGGGATGCATGATTGATATAATAACATAGAACTCCTCCTTTGGATGCTGCTCTAATGTAGGAAACAATGACCGATTTCTAGATTGGAGCACTAGGTTCCAAATTATTCTTGGAATAGCACGAGGATTGCAATATTTACATGAGGATTCACACATAAGAATTGTTCACCGAGATATTAAGGCAAGCAACATTCTTCTTGATGACAAGTTTCATCCAAGGATTGGAGACTTTGGGCTGGCTAGATTCTTCCCTGAAGACGAAGATTACCTCAGCACTCAGTTTGCTGGAACATTGTGAGTCTTATTCTCTATTCTAAATGATACTGTCTTTAAAAGCATAGATTTGAGACTTTGACTGGATTAGCTGGTTCAATTGGCAAACCAATTCGGTTACCAAATGGGCATGCATAATTGATAGCTCAAGAACCATTCGAAGTTCAACTGATCGGCTATTACAACCATAAAATTGGTATGGCCTGAGCGGTTCATCGCCTTGATCCAGTCCAGAAATGAGGCATTTGATGGGCATTTATATGTTTTGGAAAATTTCATTTTGTTGCTAGGTAGGATTTGATCGAACACATTATGAAAAACAGTCGAGCATGCCACCACTTAATCCATTAAGCTTTTAAATATTCACATGCGTTAAATATACTTTTGGTATCTTAATGCAAAATGAAATAATTGTTATATGCCGTTTTTACCCAAAAAAACCAATGTAATGTGAACATTTGAAGTTGTTCCATGTATAACTGAGGTATTTTATTGTTTTAAATTAACACAAGTCTTTATTTTCTTCTTTGATCAGAGGCTATACAGCTCCTGAATATGCTATTAGAGGAGAATTGTCGGAAAAGGCAGACATCTATAGTTTTGGAGTCCTCGTTCTTGAAATAATAAGTTGCAGGAAAAATACTGACCTTACTTTACCATCTGAAAGGCAATATCTTCCTGAATATGTAAGCTCTTGCTTTCTACACTAAACCATGGTTATTACATCAACCCATTCCCCCGCCCCCCCTTTTTGCTGCATATTTGAATGTGCTTGTGAATCTTCATTGCAGGCTTGGAAGCTGTTTGATAAGTCAAGGTTGATGGATCTTGTAGACCCAAAATTGCTGGAGCTTGGATTTATAGAGAGAGATGTTAAGCAAGCAATCCATGTGGCCTTCTTATGCATTCAATCTCATGCAAATTTAAGACCTCCCATGTCAGAGATTGTAGCATTATTGACATTCAAAATGGACATGGTTAAAACTCCAGTTAGACCGTCTTTCCTCGGCCAAAGGCATAGAAAGGATGATGAGAGCCATTCTTGGGAAACCATATCTCAGCTATACCCTTCACCAGTGCCTAGTGATTCTGCATCCATGGCTAAATCACTAAAGTAAAGGCCACTGGTTCATTTTTGCTGTCAAATAAGGATCTATGACGATATAAGGAAGAGGGGAAATATTTTAGAGGGCTACACCAACTTTGCACCACCTTTTTGATTAGGGTATTTTATATGCACAGAGGAACTCCATCAGCATGGACTCTTTCACTGTAATTACTAGGAGAATATCTATGTAATATCCTTACAGGATAGTTCTCTGAAGCCTTTTTTTTTTTTTTAAGGGTAATGTGTTACAGTAGACTTCTATTCAATTTCTAACAGATCTTCTAAAGTATTTTGTCTTAGTAAAATAGAGAGATGGGCAGAGAATATTTGTCCTATCTCTGCTCATTGTCTGATCCACTATTTTCTTATCTCTCCGTACTTTGCCCATAATTTATTTTGGGGGATCCAAATTGTATCTTCTAACTTGGGTATGCTATCCAAGTTTTACTCTATGTATAGTCATACATGTTAAATGTCAATAATGTAGGCCTATAGAGCTTCTATATATGATATACAATGTATAAAAACCCATATGATTTCTTAGTCATAAACACTAATTTCATGCAAAACATAGGCATACAATTTGGTTAATATACAAATGTGTATTATTGAAATTTAATGTATGTTTAGTTTTCTTTTATGTTATGTTTGGATACACATGGATTTAAATTTGAATCAAATTCATTGTTTGAATAATTAAAAATGTATGGATTTAGATTTGATCCAAATTCAAATCTAAATTCTTTCTTCATCTATTTGTAATTTAAAATTCTTTCTAAATCCTTATTATTTCAAATTCTAACTCAAGTTGTTTTGTAATTTGACTCAAATGCATAAAGACTTGGTCGACCTATCAATGGTAATTGAACTGAATCGCCAAAGTTGAAGGAAACAAGCTGTCATCGATGACCGGGATGACCGACTTCTATTAGGACCGGATGGCCAACTTTTCACCAAGAACGAATTGATGGTGATGATCGGGACTATATGATTGACATCCACTGAGATCGGACTGACAGCTACAGTGGAGATCGGACAGTCGACTTCCACCGTGGTTGGACCAACAGTTATGATAGGGATTGGAGGCTGACTGTCATCGAGACTAGACAGATGGCGACGATTAGGATCAAATGGCCGATTCCACTGGGATCGGACTGACGGCGACAATGGGTACCAAACGGTAGACTTCCATAGGGACCAAACTGATGGTGACCATGAGGTAGCGGCGGAAGTCCACCATCTAGTCCTCGTCGTCGATGTCGATCTGGTCCCGATAGAAGTCGACCGTCCAATCCCAATCATTAGTGTTGGTCCGATTCAGGTGGAAGTCGGTTGCTCGGTCGTGGTCATTGCCGTCAGTTCGGTCCTAATGGGAGTTGGCTGTCTCATCCCCATCATCATGACGATTTGGTCTCGGTGGAAGTCGGAGGTCCCGTCTCAGTCATCCCAGGTGCCACAATCCCAGTCGGCTTTGTTTGTCTAATCTCATTGGAAGTTAGTCATTCGAATTGTCAAATTTGACTAATCTTTCAAGTTTTTTTTAAATTCAAATATAAAGTTTAAAATTTAAAATTTTACTTTAAATCTAAACAAAAAATTTTAATATTGTAATTTAAAATTTTTTATATCATTTAAATAAAGAATTTAGAATATATAAATTTCAAATGTAAAATTTTAAATATGAGATTTTAAATTTAAATTTTCAACTTAAATCTACCTATCCAAACACAACCTTAACTAATTTCCCCCCCACCTTAATGATATGTCTACCTAACACCAATTGATAGAAGCAATCACAGGAACAAACATTAATTTACCATGCCAGTTTCCATTCCATGCAAGACTTTGGATTGATTCAAGCTGCATTTTTATTAGTATCATTGAAAATTTTCAATGACGTGTAAGTTCTTCAAAATCCTTCATCTGACCAGTTTCACTTTACTTAAGTAGACAAAGGGGTTGAAATCTTATGTCATGGATGAAATTGATTAAAAAAAAATAAAGATAAAAATAAAATGATCAAAATATACAAGGGAGAGAGATCATAAAAGTTTATAAGAAGGAAGGGCAATTTAATTTCGTAAGGTTAAGAGTTATGATTTATGAGATTTGTCAACTCAAATCTTCATTTTCTCATATCAGTATCCTCACAAAGAACATTGATATAATCTTTTAGGATAGTCCATATCTTTGTTTAGTAACATTGATAAACCAAAGCATCTTCTCCTTCACTGTCACCATGATGTCTTCTGTCTCTGGTACTTCATGACTAATGCTCTGATTACTGATATATATATATATATATATATGTATGTATGTATGTATGTATGTATGTATTGTAATAAAAAATTTTGTGGAAGAGGATACACGAGGCCGACAATACATGGAAGCAGTTAATTGTATGCACAAGCACAACCTCGAGATATACACCATGGGAAAGAGACTGAAAACAAGAATGGAAAGAAGCATGGGAGAGAGAGAGAAAGAGAAAGGCAAAACAACCCAGCTAGTTTTTGTCGTAGGAGAAGCAAACGCCTTTTATAGCTCCATGGATGGGGGGAATTTATTACTGCATGGCATATATTATGTACATGCCAGGGGCCCTCGTCCCAATTAAATTCCTGACCCGACACATATTCAATGCCATTTCTTCATTAGCAGTACAGGCCTTGCTTCAGAGATCACAAGCACCCCTTTCTTATTTTGACCCATAGACTGACTCTACGAACCCCCATCATATCCTTTGCATTCAGGAGAGTAAATGTACTTTGCTCAGCTTGAGAGAGTCTAGGACTGTGGGGTCAATATTGAAAGTAACATTTTTTCCCCAATTATCAAAAATTGGCATAAGTTGGATTTTGAGAGTTATCAAAACCAAAGTAGGTCTCCAGTCTCCTGAAATTAGAGTATCAAGATACTTCCCTACTATTATGGACTGTATCCTTATAAATTGAACTAATTTTTGTTGGGGTTATTGATTTTCAGTCTTCTTTTTTTTTTTTGGCTTCCTTTTGTTATAAAAGATTTTTTGTTTTATAGGAAACAAAGCCCTCTTTCTCCCAAAAAAAAAAAAATGTATGCTTTGAAGTCTCAAGCAAGAAGGGGAAATAAAAAATGAACTTCTTGGCATATCCCCTGTCTACTGGGGCTTAAGCATACAAGACTGACATGTGAGTATTGTTACGACATATGGAGCTTCTCTTTTTGTCCATTAGACAATAGCAACGTCAAAGATAGGAGATTGTTAACAGTTATGCTATTGTCAGAAGAAATCTTCTGCCATCGATTCACTTACAAGATGAACAGAGAAGAAGCAAAAGGGAAAAAAAAAGCACATAGAAAATGGAGGAAAAAATATTCAACTCTAGAAGAAGAATGTAATATACGCTAGTTTCTTCCAAAATTTACATTGATATTTAACAGCAAAGTAATACAACTTCCTGAAACAAAGATGAAGATCATACTGTACTGTCCACTGTGGTCGACTAAAATTCCCTTTTGGTCTTTGAATATATAGTGAATATGACTCAGAACCAATTGACTTCTTTGTAGATTTTTTGCACCAGTTTGTTCTAATTCTGTCACCCTGAACATAAATTATATCATGCAATCTTAAATGACGATAAAATATTTTTCATGTTTGAAGCATGAGTAATGAAGTCAAGCAAAAAATCTCTAAAGAAGTCAACTGATACTGGACACACATAATCTTTAGAGCACTAAAAAAGGATCCTAGTCATTACGCGACAAGGAAGATGGGTCTTTGTCTATTATTCTACCTGTTGTGTAATGGATTTGAACCAGTAGGGACGAGTCTCTTGTCGTCTGAGATGGTGGTGTTCTTCATGGCGCTTGAAAAGGAATGGCTAAAATGGCACCTCTTGGAGTTGCACTTGTTGACATTTTCATCTTCATGCTCCCTTGAGCTCTTCTTTTTGCCTTCAATCAAATCAGTGACAATGAAGGTCTTCTTCCTTGCAGATACTGTGTTATTGGACCTAAGGCAAACCAAGACCAAAAGACACACCAAAAATATCAATCTCATTGAACCAAGTTTGAGCTCAAAAACATGGAAGAAATGAAGGGCAGAGAAGAAGAGAAAGACCCACAGAAGATTATATACTTGTAAATGGACTAGAGAGAGAGGGAGAGACAGAGGCAAAAGGAATTAATTGGTGCTGATATATTATTATAATTAGAAACGGAACAGCGAAGAGAGAGGGGAAAGCACGATAGGGTTATGGGGCATTAACTACGAAGTACCTCGTATATATGCAGTAAAAGACTGTAATGATATATCACATCTCTTGGGTCAGACATTTCACCAAACATCTTTAAGGCACTTCAATTTCAAGTATCGGCATTGATGGACAACTTGTGAATTCAAACCAACCAAATCAAAGTTTGAGAACGGTAAAATGAGGAGCCAAAGTGGCAATATATGTTCTGTTCCTTACTCTACTAAGCCTTCCCGCCATATAAGAACTAAGAAGTAGCTAGCCCATCCCCACTTAGACCCTCTCAATCTCAAATCCTACTTGCTAGTTCCAATCAATTTTGTTAGCATTATTTTTCATTTGTTTGGTCCCATATATAAGACTCATAATATTCCTTTATTGGATGTCTTTCTTCATGTCAACTAATTTTTAAGATTAATTTAGATCGAGTTGAATCAAATTATATAATTCTACTAAAAATGATAATTAGAAATTATAACTAAAATTAAGAAAGGTATAATTTAACGTACAAAACAAACCTAATTAGATCAATCAATTTTTTGTTATTGATATTTGAAGAGAGATTAGTCATTACTGTTGGTAAAAATATTTGATTAATGATATGGTTTATATCATGGTAATAAAATTTGGGTCAACCAGCCTAATTGAACTGTGAAACTACTAAACTAATATATTGATTGGTTTGATCGCCGTTCGCTATAGTTTTGATTATTTACACTTTTAGACAATATCTTAATAACCGACCCCATTTTCAATATCTTGGTTTATACACAAAAGAGGGGGAGCAAGGAGGAGGAGGGAAGAGGGGAATGCGAAGGCCAGACTTGTGAAAACTGAGAAGAGAGAGAGATGAGAGATGAGAGTGAATGTGGGTATTCATTAAAAGCAGGAAACCATTTCTGTTCAAACACCTCATCCCAATCACATCTCTCTTGTCTTCCCCTGAAACATACCAATAACACTGTTGTATAGCTCTTCAGTTTCACTTCACCCATATCCCCTCTACCTGTGCCTATTCTACATCTATTTCCTTATTTTTAAAATAAAAAACATGATTATTTCAGTGCGAATTATTGATTATTAATTAATGTACCAATAACAACATAGATACTGATTCCATCTTCGTTTCAAGAAATACAAGGAGGATGTGACACCTTAATATATTACAAGAATATCAATCTGCATTGTCAGACCCTATTGTTTTAGTCTACACTTCTTCCTTAATTTTCATGTCCTAATTGCCCAAAAAAAAAAAAGAGCCTTTGGATAGAGGAAGTTGATTCAATAATAGCGTTCCAAGTGACGAAATGCAACACTACCAAACTTTGAACAGGAAGATTTTGTCAGCATCAACTCCAAAATTCTCGCTCAATTCTCCATCTTCCCAAGTTTCTGTCCAGTTCTCCACTTTCAAATTATGATCTTTTAAAAATATTTAAGCCAAATTTAACATGTTCAAGAATTAAATCTATCGTTGCCTTGATTTTAAGAAAAATATTTTTTTGGGGGATTGAATTAAAAAACGAAAGTTGTTATCAAATGAGTTGACTTGAACTCAATACTATTAAAAAAACTCTTAAAATTTAAGTCCCGTGAATAATAAAAAAAAGAAACATTGACAGGACTATATACACTTCTTTCATTTAAAAATATAAAGCATTTTTAATCGAATCTCACCCTCCAATAAAGTAATTATCTATTTTTAAATTAACCCTACATTTCCATATTTATCCCTTTTAAACACCCTACAGTAAATATAAAGTCAACATCAATAGGGACACTTTTAGAAAAAAGATAATGATTATATCTCAAAAGACTAAAAATATCTTACATTTTTTAATATCTAATTCCTTAAAAAAATCTTACCTTTTTAGACATAGGGAGTATTTGTTTAAAATTAGGTTTGTATGAGTACGGCTCTTGCCCAATGACTGAGGGGTTTGGTTTTGATGATGAATAGTGTTCATTATTGTGATGAAATTTAAATTATTCAAATTTAATTTCAATAGTTTATACTTAAAAATTTAAATTTATATTTTTTAGTCAATAATTTCATTTTTTTTTAAAATGTGACCATTAAATTTATATTTATTTTAGATTCTGCATCCATTAATATACATTTTAAAAAAAAAATTTAAATCTTAGAGCTTGTTTGTTTTCTATTTTTAAAAACTATTTTTTATTTTTAAAAGTAGAAAATTTTAAAAACTTGTTTAGTTAAATATTTTTTATTTAATTTTTTTAAAACTATTTTTATTTTTTTAAAAAAATAGAAATAACTTCAAAACGTTTTTATTTTATTTTTTAGTTTTTAAAATAAACTACATTTAATTATTGAAAAATTCAATTATTTTGATAAATTTTTATTATAAATCATCACTATTAACCACCTATAACTATCATTATCAATTTGTTTTTTTAATTCTAAGTTGTTTTTAAATTAACAAATTTTCAGTTTATTTTGATTTAAAAATAATTTTAAAAAATAAAAAATAAAAACAAAAACCAAACAGGCAAATCATCCAAACTTAGATTTCAGTGCTCGTCATCTCTAATAAGGAAAAAAAAAATTTGGTTGCCCACCCAATATCCAGAGCTTTACCCTAACTAATCCAAATTCAACTCATGTCACGTACCTGGCTATGGTAGATGTCTTCCAATGAGAGTTTTCTATATACATAAGGCTCAAATTTAAGATCTTGTTTAAATAAAATTGAGTTACTTATCGTTCGAACCAACCTCCTTTAGTTCATGATCGAGAATTTGATTCCTAACTCTTGATTACGTTCGTCAAGTTGATATGGTGCAGGCCTAGTTTTCTTAACCCGAAACCCGTTGATCTGGTGGTCAACTTTTGAACCCAAACCCGCTCGAAATCAGCGGGCTGAAAGAAATTGAACCCAAACCAAGGTGTCTAATAGACCCAATCCAAACCAACTCAATGGAGCGGGCAAAGCAGCACGTGTGAGAGCAGGTGCTTCCGAACACGGCACCATCATGAGATCCCCTCCTCCTCCTTCGTCTGTAACTGTCGGAGCCGGCGACGCCTCCTCTGGTCTTCCTCTCTCTCCCCTGAACATGCTCTTCCACCATTCCCCTCATGGCAACTTCCGTCATCCAGAGGAGGAGCCGTTATACCGTTACCATCCTCTTGTTCCTCGCCTTGTTTCTTCTCACTATGTTCGTTTTCAGCAGAAGAGCTCTAGAATCCGCTTTCTTACTCCGTTCTGATATCTTCTTTCGAGCTTCCCCTTCTCTCCAAGATTCTCCAATCTCAGTTTCTGATCACGCTGGCCCTGCCCAGAATTTTACTTCTGACCCGGAACATGTGGATTCTCCGTCTAACCACTCTGGTCACTCCAATGTTCAAACTGGAGCGGTTGAACTCGATTCTAGCTCTGATGGGTTCGATAAAGAAGAGTCTGGTAATGACAAGAATGAGAAAGCTTCTGACGGCGAAACCACTGTCACGATGAGTATGGATAATGTTCGCGAGTCTAGCTCGGAGAATGAGATTTCTGTTAATCGTAAGATCGAACCGGTTTCTGATAAGGAATTGACTCTGACAATGGCTGGTAATGATCGTGTGTCCGGCACCGACAATGAAGTTTCTGTTCATGATAAGAATGGCGCTGATTCTGAGAACGAATCCACCGACACAATTGCGGTTAATGTTTCTAGTTCTGATAGCACCGACAATGAAGTTTCTAAGAATGATTCTGATAATGTAATCACTGGCGAAATGGCCGATAACGTCAGCGATCTCGCTTTGGAGGAGCAGTTGAAGTGTGATTTGTACACTGGAACTTGGGTGAAGGATGAAAATTACCCCATTTACCAACCGGGTTCTTGCCCTTATGTTGACGAGGCATATAATTGCCAAATCAATGGAAGAGCCGATACAGAGTTTACAAAATGGCGGTGGCAACCTGATGGCTGTGATCTTCCCAGGTACAAGTGTAGTATTTCTAGTGCTTGTATGTTGTTATTATGTGGTCATAGATATATCTTTCAATTTTTTTAAGCATTTTACTTATTGGAGACTTCATTGTGACATTGTTTAACATTAAGCGGAATACCGATGCTTATACTTGATTTGTTATGACCATGCGTTTAAAATTATGATAAAAACGTCTTTGACTTGTCCTTGAGAGTCATCTAAAACCTTGAGACAGAATATAATTAAATGGAGTATGGTATGGTTGTATGATTTTAGCCTCTATGTAGCAAGCTGCACGAGTTCGCACTTATCTTTTAATATGCTCTTTATAATTATTTCGGCTAATTGTTTATTACTATGCGATAAAAAGTCAATGCCAATTGCTCTGTTCGGTACTTCCCTTGATGATTCCACCACAACTTCCTTGACCTATTAAAATAAAATGAATGAACACATGTTGGAACATTTTATGGTAGTTTGAAACTTTGAATGTTATTGCTCTTGCCCATGTTCACTTAAGTTCACTTATGTTTTAGTCTTGAGCTTTTCCTTTCAAATATGCTCACATATGAATGCCAAACAATAACATGTGATACAGACATAAATGTCACTTTTTCTCTTGGCAGAAGTTTGAGTAAAACAACTTTTGGAAATCAGTACATCTGAATGAATATGTTGTTGATGAAGCATATATATTATACTGAATGTTGAACAAACATTCATGAAAATATGGCTCAGTTTTTGGGCTGCAAATTATCCAGATGATTGAGTATTCCTATTAAAATTAAAGAACTGCGGACTCCCACTATCAGAGCTTAGCTTTCTAAAGCATGAATTCTGGTTTTGGTTCTGTACCAAATACCAATGGCATTACTAGCTCTGTTCCTGAGCGCCATTATTAACTTTCTCAGTACACAATGTTGGTTATTTTATTTATCCCAAACCAGTGGGAAACAATTAAAGCATGACATCTTTCGTAGATTTGTCAAACTTGTGGAAACATCTGTTCTATTAATGTAGAAATATTTTTTTAAAAAAAAAAATGCCATACTTTATTCCTGCACCGAGATTGTAATTTTTATACGGATTGTCTTGATTAATGTTTTCAGCTCTCCGATTCCATGTTCGATGAATGATGTTCTTTGCTTGTTTGTCCCTGGAGCCTTATTTTTTTTGTCTGTTAATTGGGCTTTATAATTAATCAGTGTAGTATGCTTACTCAAACTTTTGACCTTCTCGCTAATATTTTTCAATTTTTATACTAGAGTATACCAACTTTTGACGTTAATTATTGTACTTACTCAGCTTTTTGGATTTTGTTGAAGTTGAGAGAGTGGTATATCCATGTGAGATTCGACAAAGTTTTACATTGTGTGTTGAGGGTCTAACACAACCCTCCTCTTTTATTTGAACTTGTATTCAACCCGACCTAGTGGGATAAAGCTTATTATTGTTGAGAGAGTGGTATAATTCCTTTTTCATTGTTTTAACATTTCAGTTTAGACAGTTATACTATCTGATAGATCATTCAAGAAATCATTCTTTCTCTTTGATCAGTGAGAAGAGGGAAAGAGAATTTCTTCACAGTTAACTTCAACCCTATGCTGAGCTGGTGTTGTTATTGGTTGAGTCTGACAAATGCAATTGGTGTTTATCTAAAATTTGTTCAACTTTTGTCCTTCTGTTGATGTAAGGCTCTTCAACCACCCTGTGTGAGAATTGAGATAAACAGTTAATTGCATGGA